TGTGAACATTGTAACAAATCTTTTACCCGAAAATCAAATCTTAACCGACATTTAACGATCCATACTGGAGAGAAACCATACAAATGTGAACATTGTGAACAAATCTTTTTTCCGAATTTTGATTACAGAATGCGAATCTGGCCAGCATTTCAACACCCACCCATAATCAAAACTCTCAAAAAAAAAATTGTTTAAAAGAGCACTATAATCCTTAAGTGTAACATCACAAGTGGCAGAAAACATTTATAAAAATAAAACATAAATTTTACCATCAATACTACAATCATTATAATTATTAATACAAAGATTGTACACTCAGAAAAAATTCCTTCGATCCGGCCGAATTCGAACCGACGTCTTCCAGCGTAGCGTGCCAGATTAATTTCATCGTCAGACACCTTTTCTCGAATGAAACGGTATTTTGCATCTATGTTTTGTTCTGCCATGATGCACAGAATTATAAGCTAAGTTCTGTGCACTCCGACTGTCGCTATATAAAAATTACACTAGGACATTGGGTGCTACATACCTCCGAAATAAAGCGACGTAGATACACAGCTTTCTTAGATGCATCAGTGAGCGCTATGTACACTGCTTCCGTCGAAGACAACGCCTGGGTTGCTTCCGTGATTCCCATGATATCGGACCATTTGCCAGCCATTTGAAGTAGTACCCAGTATATGACCGACGAACACTGGCGCAATTAGCCCAGTCGGCATCCGTGTACCCTTCCAGGGATCTGCCAGTTTTTCTGTAGATTATAGAGTAGTCTACAGTACGCTTCAGGCAGAGAACAAAAAGTAAAGAGAACAGACACTCTCCGCCCCTCCCTAGCTTTAGATACCGCACCACACCCCGCACAATGCCGGTCACATTGACTGAACGACAACAAAGCGTACGAGCCGTTTTCAACCGAAGACGGCTTTGATATTTGAATATAGTTTTCATTTATGAATTACGAAACTTGTACGTTAATATAAAACATCATTTTACGTTACTATTTATAATGGTCGTGAATTGTGCTGTGTACGGCTGTTTATCATCATTTTCCGAAAGATGAAACAAACTAGGTAAGTAAAAAAACTTATGTTTGAGACTCATTCAATGACAAAGTGTACTAAGAGGCCGGTTTGGAAGCTAGGTAATCGAATTAGATTGTTTTTAATTATGACTGTTTATTAAAATGTTTAAAATTCCAAAATAATTAATTTAAAAAATGTGACCCGGTAGTCAAAACATAGATGTCATACAAATTCCACCTGTCCCAAAGGCATACAGCACAATGAAACGACGATGTTGTCTAAGATTTTTCCTCCACATGTCTGTATATGTAGTATCAGTAATGTGCTCTAATATACATGCATTCTAAATCTTGATTTGCGAGAGCTTTGATTTAGTTTTCAGTAAAAAAAACAGTTTGAATAATTGCCCCCTTTTTAACAACAAAGCGCATTGTCGCCTGGGTCACAACAAAGTTAGCACCAACTAAGTGAAAGTGAGATAGACTGTCTATAGCTAAGCCGATAGAAAACGGATCTACAAATCGTATGATCGAGCTTTACCAATCCTTAAGTTTATAGGGATTCGGCCATTTAGCCCCAAACTCTTATTAGTTTGTGTTTAGCCCGTAACTCGCAGCGTGACAGCGTGTGTTTATTGTGCGTCGATATTTAAGTCTGAAATGCTTTACATGCATGCAAAAATAATTAAAAATCGTAGTATGTCTCCTGACTGACGTCACGAAAACTGTGACTCAGGAGACAATTTTGGTGACCCCAAGTGATTTTCTGTACTAAAGATTCCGTTATAAGTAAATACAAAACATAATTAAGTAAAGAGCCATTCATAAATGAAAATCTAAACTTAGCAAACGGAAATTCGAATGGTGTTTTGGAAATTTTAGTTTATATACCGATATTTCAAAAATATACTCAAATTGAATCGAACTTTCGATATTTTTAGTACTTTTTTTTAATAAAAAGCTAGAGCTTCTGTTAAATGAACGTGTCTCAACCACAAATTCATTATACTTTTTTAAAGCAATTCTTTTTTTATTTACAAACAAATTTAAATCAGTTTGTATCGAGTTCTTAGGTTTTCGCGATTGTTACACATAGGAAATGAAACTATTCTATCTGCAGTCTATATATCTATCTGCAGTCTGCGAGCATGTCATGGATAAACCTACACATTCAATGAAGTTTGACAAACCCCAGGTCCTTGCAAAAGAAGTCCGTTATCTGCCCAAGATGCTGCGAGAGGCCATTGAAATTAAAAAACATCCTAATTTCAACAGGGAAGATGGTTTCTCCGTACCACCAGTTTGGGATCCAGTATTTCCTCTAATGAAAAATCCCAAACAGACATAAGACGGCAGTACTAATTAATGTTTTAGTTTATTCTAATTTCTATTAATAATTAATAATAAATTAAACTTAATAAAAATTCATTCAATAAAATAATTTGTAAAACTTAATGTAGCGTAAAATGGAATGTTTTCTTTGTAAAATTAAAAATAAGGTATTTAATTAATAACTATTGTAACTATAGTCAAAAAATTGGGTGGTTTGCATTAATATTAGACATAACTGGTTGAAGACTGTACCACCTCAGTCAACCGTGACCATGGGACCTGTAAAGGGCCCGAAACGTCGGTTTGTTTGAAAAAACAAATATACGCGATTTAAATCCGGAAAAATAGTTTCATTTCCTAAATGAAACTATTTTTCCAGATCGAGTTCTTAGGTTTTCGCGATTGTTACACATACAACGATAGTGTAAAATAGTTTCATTTCCTATATTTTTCCAGATTTAAATCGCGTATATTTGTGTTTTCAAACAAACTGAAGTTTCGAGCCCTTTACAAGTCCCATGGTCTTGGCGCCAGTTAGCTACCGTAGGCAAACCTTTATTTCAGAGAGCACATGGTGTCTGCGACAGTAATCATCTGGCACGGGAACTTCAGCATATAAAGCAAGTCCTACATGCGAATAAGCTGAAGATTCCACGCCAATGTCGCAGGCCCCGTGTGAAACCACCAACAGTCGAGCGAAGACCTGCCATCTTACCTTACGTGAGAGGTGTTACAGACAAGATCGGAAGAGTCCTCAGGCGCGCATCTATCAAGACCTATTTCAAGCCCCTGAGGAAGATTGCTCAGTTCCTGAGACCCGTGAAATGTAACATCCCCTTACAGGATGCAGGATTTTACAAGCTTGACTGTGAGTGCACCGCACTCACTCTCTTATATTGGACAGACAAAACGAAGTATTTGTACCCGCGTTAAAGAACATATAGCTGATGTCAAACACCGTCGCGTAAACAAGACTGCAGTACTAATTAATATGTTTTAATTTTTAATTTATTCTAATTTCTATTATTACATAATAATATTTTGAACTTTATAAAAATTCATTCAATAAAATAATTAGTAAAACTTAATGTAGCGTAAATTGGAATGTTTTCTTTGTAAAATTAAAAATAACGTATTTAATTAATAATTATTGTAACTATAGTGAAAAAATAAGGTGGTTTGCATCAATATTAGACATAACTGGTTGAAGACTGTACCACCTCAGTCAACCGTGACCATGGGACATGTAAAGGGCCCGAAACGTCGGTTTGTTTGAAAAAACAAATATACGCGATTTAAATCCGGAAAAATAGTTTCATTTCCTATTAAATCTGTTTGCTTACGGTTTTTTAATACTAGCATTACATAACCTAACTACATAAAATTAATTTATTGCAGTTACCATGCCATTATCGCAGCTGAGAGGCGAAGACGATATAAGGAAAATGTTAAAAAGGTCCCTGTAAAATATGAAGAATATGAAAGAACACCAAGTGTGATTCAATTTGGTTACTGTTTCTTTTTCCATGATTACTCTAGGTATAGAACCAGCGGCTGATTGTTATATTTTTAAGATATTTTTTACAAGCTTAATTGTCTAACAAATCGACTTTACGTATGTCGTACAAATAATTGTGTCTCTTGAGTCACATGGTATCTCTTCGGGCTCACAATTGTCCCCATTTTGCGTGATATTTTTTGTGCAATTTTACTTTAACTAAAAAGTTATAGAACAAAGTTTTGTACATAACAACTTTAAAGAATGACGGTCGGTAGTTACATATTAAGTGCATCTTTTTTGTGTTTCTAGGAACAGAGTTATAAGAAAAGTTTTCCAGTTAATTTTACTCTGACTCCGGAGACACAATGTGATCTATTTTTAAAAGAATGAGGCTGTTTTTTTTTAGTTATGATTGCGCCATATTGATTCATTAATATAATATACTTATTGATATTAAAGTACAGTGACTGATTACAAAGTTGGTTTTTATTTACTTTTTGTCATAACTTATATATATTAGGCAGGAGACGTTATAAAGTGTCATTTCTGAAATAAAGGCATAAAACTACTGGAAAAACTCAACGAAGTTCGATGCTCGTTAATATGTAGTTTATATATTCCTTAACTTAAACCAAATGACAAAAGACTTTATCCTGAAAATTCCACTAATTACGAATTCAAAGTTTTTGTTCAAAGTGATAAAAGATACTGTGGTCTATGTGAAAATGAAAACATAAATATTGACTACCGCCGCTTAGAAGACTATGTAAAAAAAACCGAATAAGTGAACTAAGTTATTTAAGAGAAATAGAAAACAATCTATTAGAACTACAATCGGATATTACTACCTATATACTAAATCTATGGATATTACTGAGTATCCGATAATTAAACGAAGACATGACTCAAAGGACTTATATCTAAAGTCTAAACCATTAATAAAAAAAAGGGACTTTTTTTATTGGTTTTCACGGCTCTGGGTACTTTGGACTTTTAAGCCAATCGTCAAAATAATCACTTTCATAACGAAAATATAACACTTAGAAAGTAAAACGAAAACACTTTAAATTTCGTTCACAGTGTTAGATATAAAGTTACGTATTGGTTTAAATAAGTTTTTCCTTGA